TCTTAGTACAAGTAAACTATTGTGAATGACAGGTCAATAAAACTGTAAAACACGGTCAACACTGAGGGCTTGAAGAGAGAAGGAAGCAGGAGCAGAGAGAAACCAGAGGCACTGGCATTTGTGGAGGTTACATAATTTCATGGTCAAATTGACAAGTAAGTGCAGGAGTGGAGTCTAGCCTGTCGATCAGGTCACAGCCTGATGAAGCCTCCTTTTGGGCATGGCGTTCTCATGAGGATTCTGGGAACTTCTCTCTCTCTTCCTTCATCTTCCTGTCGACAAGCCATGCAGAGACTTGTGGAGACCTGTTTCACCTTCCTGTTGAAGAGCCACACTCAGAGAGCTGGAGACGCACGCCAGCACTGAGATGCTTCCACTGGCCTATCATTACACGTGGCTGTGCGAGTCTGAAGAGGGAATTATGGACTAGTACCAGACTTAAGGACTTGATCTGGATTTCCTGGGATGCTTTCTTAATATGCAATTACTCTTTGATTAGCTCTTTCTTACACGTGTCTGTGTCAACGAATTAGTTTCTCTAGTCTACCCAGCCTAACACAGGATTCAAGCTTAAAACACTGCACACTACCACGTTCAATTCTGACAACATTCAACTGAGCAGCTAAAGGAAGTACAGAAAATATTCAGGATGAATGGCTGGAAGAAGGTACAGTACTATTTGAAAAAGGGTGAGGTCCTAAATATAGCACAGACATTTAAATGGGAATTAAAATACAATTACAAAAATGTCAAGACCATCTTTTGGTGCTACAGTGGCTGCGATGAAAAACAACCTACAATTCAAAGCTGACATTTGCTTCAACAAGTTCCTTATTACAGACAAAGAGAAGGTAAGTTTCCTGGAGAAAGCACTGCATGATGAGTTTTCAAGATGATATAATTACTGGTTCTTTGAAAAAACACAAACAAGATTTCACTTAAAATGTAATACACACACAATAACGTAGGTACTCAAAAATGAAAAATTGAAAATACACACTATTCTCCCTTTATAAGTCATCCTTTCTCTAGAAGGTTTATTTTCTATGATTAGCTCAACAGTAGCTAGTTGTGACTGATTGTTTGATACTTATCTATAGCACAACTTGTTGAAACTTTTGCCTGTTATTTTTTAAGTTATGTGTTTAATAAGTAGAAGGTAAAGAAAGCTCTGTGTTTAATAACTATAAGTTAAAGAAAAGGCAAAAACAAATCAAGTTTTATAAATAGCCTGGAGAAGACCGTCTTGGAGGAATTCAACTAGCTAGACTACAATAGTGGCTAGGTTTGACAAAAATGAGAGACATTTTTGTTCTTGCTGACTGTTCAAATTGTGCTCTCCTCAAATTATGTGTCAACTTGGCTAGGCCATGCTTCTCATATTATGCACTTATCCTCCATTCGTGATATAATTATCCTACATAAATAGGATAATTGCAAATCCTAACAGCCTATGTTAATAAGGCAAGATTTGTAGCAGTTATGCTCATGAGACAGGATATAATTTACAGGATTAAGCTGTATTTAGAGTCAATCTCTTTTGAGAGAGAAAATACATGTTACAGAAAGCAGAGAGGGGCACACTGACACCAACAATGGAGAAGCAAGAAGGAGCAGGTCCCGTGGACCCAGAATGGCTGTATGGACGATCTCCTAGACCGAAGAGATAGCACTGTAGTCAAACCAGATGTTGGGGCAGAGAAACGCAGCAGTAGAACCAGAGACAGCCACAGAGGGCTTGCTGACAGGAAGGCCTCTGGGCACTTCCTGGTGGGCCTCAAGGGTTTTGTAACGAGCACAAGTTGGAGAGGACAAGCCAAGGAGCAGGCAGGGGTCTGCCTCTGGACCCACGTGAGGAGAAGTGTCCTGACGAAGACCTATGTCTTGAGTTATTTACCATGCTCAAATGTAAACTGCTGCTTCCCTAAGAAAACTCATCATTGCGAGTACTCTCTCTGAGTTCTGTTGGGCACGGCAATGAGTTAGTGAACCTAGCAGAGAAGTAGACAAGTGCTGCGGAGGAATGGTTGGTGTCAGAATTGGTAATGTCAAGAGGTGTGCCTGAGCTCCCCCTCACGGGAATCATTCTTCGGCTGTTGATCTTGAGTTTTTCTTATTAAAGGAGGCCAGGTATTCCCCCCACGCCCCATGCCATTTCTATAATAACAAAAGCTGGAGAGAAGAAGTTGATCACAAGAATCAGCTTTGGGCTGATGGGTATTCTCTCTCCTTGTGAAGTTAGAGGAGATCTGATGCCTCTGTCATTTTTACACGAACTTTCTTAGTCTACTGAGGCATAAGCCAAGCCAACAGTAAGTCACCACACTATCCTTCTGAGTTACTTATCTTATGGCAATATAGTAAAGTCTTTGAGAAAAGGGGATTAGTATCCATGCTAAACACTTACCAATGTTTTGGTGTAACCTGACTCAAACTGATAACTTCATCGAGGATTTCATTTTTAGCTTTTTCAAACAGTTCATTCTAGAAACACAGACACAGATAAGTAAGGATTTCATAGAATAATAAGTTACTCAGCTAAAATGTTCACCTACCCTGGAATTAAGGCCTTGGACTGACTAGTTGGCAAGATTTACAGGTCTGAAGCATGGGCAGTAAACAGCACATTTTCACCTCTAGTTTCTCTTAGGAATACCATTATCCAGACAAGTACTAAAGAACTAACTCAAATTATCTGCTTTATTCAATTTTAAATGCCATTTTTACAGGATATTTGTACATGTAACACTTTCAAATAATGTTATGTGAAAGCATCAATGTGCACATTTAATTTTAGTGTACTTCTAAGTTAATGCTATATTACAATTTCAGATCAAGGATAAACCAAGATTTAGTTTTCACGAAATTATAATTCCTAATAATACTGGTAAGAAAAGGTTAAAAGCTGATTATCATTTAAAATATTTTATTTACATAAAAACATTAATTCTGTTAAGAATTTTAAGAAAACTTCATTATCTCAAAAATTTCTGCTAACCTATAATTCCTCATTATTTTTCCATGTTACTTAAACAATTTAAATTATTGCAGCAAAGTTAACTGCTCTTAGAAGTATATCCTTGCAGCTGTAAATTGGTGCTCATGGTGAAAACCTAAACAATTCAATTTACCAGGTGTGGTAGGTAGTTTACTGTGCCAATCTTGCCGATAAACACATGTGGGGTTAATTGAAGGGCGGAGGGATAAATGGCTCAGTGAGCCTTGCCTTTCTAGTTCTCGGGTCTCTTGCTTTCTGATGGTCAAACCAGGGTGCAGCTGCCTTAGCAAATTCTCTGCTTTGGCTGGCAAGGCTCACTTCCTGCAAGACATCCCTGAGGAGAAGCCACATGGACCTACCCTGAAGCAGCCCTGGGTGCTGGAGCAGCCATGTGGAGACCCCTGCCAGCACTGAGATGCTTACATGTTCACTGATTCGGCTTTCCTTCTGCAGTCGGCACCATTGCGTCTGTTTTGTGAGATGGAGGAGGACTTTGTGAATTGGTGTTGGACGTATGGGTTAATGTTGGACTTGTGGACTTGGGCAGCACTAGGTTGGGATGCTTTCTTGATGTTCACTTAATCTTTATATGAAACTCTGTCTTATACACGAGTTTCTGGGGATTTATTTCTCTAAAGTACCCAGACTAACACACTAGGCTTCTCTTGGCAATATAAATTCTGTGAAAACATGTATTAGAGTAAGATACATAGAAAATCTATCAGACACACAAACATTACCCGGTCAAGTTCTCGCAGACGAGGGTAGTTATTTTTCCACTCAGTTTCGAGGTTAAAACGTGTTGCTGAGGAAGAAGGAAGAACATTCAAATTTGACAATCTCGTGTTTCAGACAGAGCAGAAAAAGGGTCTTACGTATCTTCTGAGGGCCTACCTAAGCCTTCTTTGTATTCTGGGCTCTCAATATTCTGAATTTCATTCTTTCAATGGCTTTCGAATCTCTTTAACTGTAGCGGCATGTATAAATTTTCAATCACAAAACACACGGCCGAGGCAATTCAGCACGGCTGTTAAGAACACGGTCTCCAGAGCTGCACTGCAAAGATTCAAACGCTAGGTCTGTTCTCCACTTTCTGGATGAGTCTGGGTTGCTACTTGAGTAAGTTACTCTGTGCCCGTGCTTCCTCTTTAGGAAAATGTAAATAACACCTTAAAACAATCCTAAGGGGCTACATGGATCCCCCACACGGGAAAAGCAAAGGAGAACATATTCTCAGCTACAGAAGCAAAAGACCCGGATCAGGTCAGTGGGAGGGTCAGGAAGTAGTACAATGTAACTGTAATACAGTGTGCTCTGTACCCACCCATTTCCTCTCTCTACCTCAAAGCAAATGAAACTTCACTGCCATGCAGTCAGCGCTGAGTCACAGTGACCCCCTGTGATACTGTAACTGTTCACTGGAGTAGAAAGCCCAGTCTACACATAGTACAGAATGACTCTGTAGTTTAGCATTCCCAGACACTACTGCAAACTTCCCTAGTCCGGTTAATCTCCCACTGTCTGACAAGCAGTGTTAGCTGAGAAAGGAAAAATTCTGTTCTATTAAGACCCCAGCTGATTTGCGACCTTCCATTCTCCACCTGCCACCTAGCAGTAAATGACCTGGGATGCCTTCGTCAAAGAAAGAGCGCAAAGGATCTGATCGATTCCAGAGTGCCAGCTCGTAAAACACACAAATGTGTTTGCTTTAAAAACTTGACCTACCTTTGAAACTATCAGCTTGTTGTTCAACTGACTCTCGTACCATTTTCCAAAAGCAGTCTGAAACGGCAAGGCTTAAATTTCTTGTAGTCACTTGGTGTGCCTTTAGCATGCTTGTCCTGTTAAAAAAAATACCAAAAGCTAAAGTGTGTAAAAATAGCAAAAGATATGGTTAATTTTGTGAATCTGTTACCTGAAAATAGCCACATACACACCTTATAGCTGCCCAACCGAACTTTGTGCAACGAAGAAATTGCTCTCTATTTGTACTGTCCAGTTTGGTGGCCATGAGCCACAGTTCAAGGGCCTAGTTAGGCTCAGGAACTGATTTTGTAGTTTAAACACTGAATATTTAAATAATCACATGGGCCTAATGACTACTCCTTGGGAAAGCCCACTTCTACATCCTTGTCAGCCCTTCCGAGTAAGTTACACAGAGACAATCTGCTTCACAGGAATGACTTTGATTTACTGCACACATCTGGAAGCAAACACATTTTTCTGTTCCAATCAACTGTCTCCCTATATACAATTTCACATAAACCAATTCCTTTCAGCTTCTCTGGCACTATATTTTCCTATCATATCCCCTTTTGAGTGCCCTGCCTCCTCTTCGTCTTAAAAATATTCACACATATTTAAGAATGTAAAAGTTGGGGGTGTTTGTTTCTCAGGTTCCTTCGTAGGTAAAACAAGGAAAGGTCTGTTTTATCTTTGAAGTGCTCATCCTTTGGCCAACATCTGTGGGTAGGTTTCGTGTGGTAACTTGCTCCCAATTCTGTCTAAGAGTGTGTGAGGACTTGCTTATTAGATCCAGGTCACAATCATTTAGTGAAACATTTTAAAAATTCAACATAAATGATAACTGTGAAACACAAGCTTTAAATGAAAATAGTTTCCTTTATGCTTTATTTTCATGGTAAAAACCATTAAATATAAAGCAAGACACGTACTTTAAGAGTTTGGAGTTCTGGAAAAACTCTTCTTCATATTCTTTTATAGCTTCAATGCTTTCTGAGCTGTTTCCTAGGGAAAGGGAAAGGCCACATTTTCATATATAAAACTAATCTTTATTATTTGAAAACAATGCAAAGAACAACAATGAAAATCCATCTTGCATACCTTTTCCTGTTACAACCGCAAAATAACCCAGAGCTTTCATTGGGAAGAGCTTTCCTTCAATTATCTGCTGAATCTATTTTAAAAAGGAGGAAAAATAAGTATAAGGTATAGACTTCCACAATTTTTAAAAACAACAATTTAAAAAGCAAAATTTTAATGACGCTGTACATGTGTGCTTAGTAACATATACCAATTTGTACAAAAGCATTTAAAGTGCATTTCAATTGGCATTTAAGGAAAAAACATATATTTAAATGTTACTACATTGCAAAGTGTATTATTAAGACAGATGAACTATAATTATGACGTGGAATCATGTATAGTGCTGTGGAATCAGAAAGTACTCAGTTTGAATCAGAATCTCTGCTCTTCCACTTACTAGCTATGCAGCCTAAATAAGCTACTTCCCTTTTTCCTAACGGTTGTTTAGAAGAGTCTCTGAGATAACCTGGATTCTTAGCACAGTGGATACTCCAAAGCACTCAAAAAACCCAACAAACCACCCCCCTGGTAGCTGTTGTTACTAGCTCCAGATCTATCATTTGCATATAATGTAAAAGCCCTTCAGATTAATATCTGGTTAAGAAGATCTCCTCTAAGACAAACTATATCCCTAAGCAAACACTCAATTTCTGAAATAAAAAGGACTGAAATAGGCTTCATTTTCTGGGGTCTGGTGGCAGCATTACGGAAGACAGCAACAGACACCTCTTCTGTTTACAAAGCTTACTCAGCTCATCTTCCCGCCAGATTAAGTGATGTCAGCTCGCTGAAGCTGGTGCCTGGCCCATTGGCGTTATCAGCATCAACCAGAAAGATGCACGGGATTCATCATGCCTATAAAATTTATAGATGATCCCCAAAACATAAATACTGTGGAATTTCCTTTGTGGGCTCTCTCTCCCTTGCCTCTAACCCCTTCTTGTACCTGAAGAAATGCCAGTGGCTTTTTCTCGCATGCCCCTTCCTGACTCCACCATCCCTTTCCAGGCAGGCTCCCCAAGGAGCAGCAGCATCACTCGTTTAACTCTTTCCTAACCAGACTCTGTTGTAGTCTGTTAGTGGGTCTGTATTAAACCTAATTTTTCTTCCTTTCTGTAATAGCAGCTACCATGGTCTCTTTACCTCTTAAGTTAGCTAATTCTCTGGTTTTGGACAAAGGGCCAGCCCTAACCTTTCCTTACGCAGCCATCCTAAACCTCGTTCACCTCTTTTCTTTGGATTTCCTGCTCCCCACAAACCTCACCTCCCTCCGTAAATCTATTAATTCAAGGTCTCGCTCTGTCTCCGAAAGACTTTACACATTTGTACTTCAAAGAAATATACTCACTCTCTCAGGAGCAAGAAGGAAACGAAAAGAAGAAAACAGACAGGGCAGGTGCTCACAGAAATGGGCTGTGTCTCTTCTCTGCCCTGCTCTGTAACAGGACCATTTTACAGCTGGCAAAGCGGAGGCCATCAGATTATGCACAAAAATGAACAAATATGCTTTGAAAGATCTTTCTGAAATGCTGACCCATGACTGGGGCTTAGGACTTTGACTAGTAAGCAATTCCCCACACTGATACAGTCAGAAAACTTTCTGTAAAGAAGAGTGAATTGTACAAGGAATGTGATTTATGCCGAGCCACAGCTTCTCTTTTCTGTAATTTTGTTACATGAGTGTGCCTACAAGACCAGTCTCAGAAACCCACAACAGGGGCAGCTGCATTCTGTTGTCCAGGGTCACCGTGGGTTGGAATCAACTCAATGAAAGTGGGTTTAGATTTTGAAGTGAGTCTTTATACACACTCACTGGACTTAGAGGTGGTTTTAGGAACCCTTGACACAGAAGCACTGTGTCCCAGGAAGTGTAATGTGAAAAGATGGGAAAATTTAAGCAGTAACACCAGTCATGGGAGTATTTATAGCCTGAAATTGTTAATTTATAGGGAGAATGATATGAGGGGGCTTTCAAATTGGTAAGGAAAAATGGGATGACAAAGCAACAAAATTTTTCCATAAATTTTTGAAGACATCTAATAATATTAGATGACAGTAAACTTATGTGCCAAGCTCTAGTTCAATTACTTTACAATATATTTAGCTCATTAAATCCGCATAAGCTATGAGATGGTACCCATTGGTATCTTCATTGCCACAAGAGGATGCTAATGTACTAAACATTAAGTAACCTGCCAACGCTACACGGCTAGCCTATGGCAGGGCCAAATTTCAAATCAACACATGGCTAAACTTTTCTGTCAACAGAACCATGACTCTGCCTTTACAACGACATTGTGAGCATACCTTGCCCCAAGATCTGCAAGTCAGACTGAAGTTGGGATTAAAGAGCAATGTTGCCACAGAGTTCAACAAAATAATGCTCAACAACATGATCCATTAGTACCAGGGACACTGACCCTTATGTCACAGTTCATGGAAAGTCAGAAATAAAAATGGCCCCGGAGATCAACTAGCGCAGGGTCAGCGAGCTGAGGCTCTCCAGTGCTTTGTGGCTCTTTCAGTATGACGTGTGGCTCTGAGGTAACATGGAAAATGAAAATAAAACTATCATAGTTTCATTCAAAGGATATTTATTCATGGAATGCTTGCTTCATTTGTTGTAAAAATAAACTGATGGTTCTCGAGTAATTTTGAATTGTGAGGAACAGGATTGGCTCTCAAAAGTTTGCCGACCCTGAACTAGACTAATGGGATGGAGTCTGCATTGACTAGTTTCTGATGAGTGATGAGATTTGCCCAAGGATATACAGCTAGTTGGTGGTAAAACACAGATAAGAATACTGAGGCCTAATTCCCAATCCAATGCTTTTTCTGCTATAAAAATGTACAATGCTATCTTTCACTAGAGGTGAAATTTTCTACAACAAAATGGCCTCGGTAAAGGGTCCAAGAGGATTGCATAGTGTCACTAGTTTATACTAAATTTATGCATATCAACTTAAAAAAAGATAAAACACCCAAACTCCCCAAATACTATGAAATCACTATATTGAACTAATGAGCATATGCCAACATCCCAAATTATCTAAATTAGCGCAAGCAATATTTGCAGTCAAGATGTTTAGGAAGGAAATGAATTATAACGATGGCATTTTATTTAATGCCCCAAATTTGCACTTAAATACAAAACTGCACTTAACCTCAAGTTCTAATACTTCAACAGGAACCAAGCAAAATCTCGATACTGCTTTCTGACACAACATACCATTCCTTTTTTCTTTTCCCCGTCCCATCTGGAGCTTGGGCAAAGAGCCTGACGTCAGAATAAAGAGCTTGCCCTTACCCTGTTTGGACTAGCCACATTCTTCTCTGCCAGGTCTACTTTGGTCAAGACAAATATTGTCCTTCTTCCATGAGGATCCATTTGACTGACCAAGTCTGTCACGATACTGCGTTCAGCATCCACAGAGCCGTCTGAAAAACACGGAGGAGTGACACTGTAATAAGTGCAAAGTTACTCTGGGAAACTCAGTACGAGCTCCAGCCTTGCATTTAGAAACCACCTCAGCTTCAATTCTATTCACGAATGAAACGGATGAGAAAGAAGAGGCAGCAACAGCACCTACACAAGTACACGTTCGGGAGAAAGCTCAGATTGCTACAGAAGGGAATATATCACCGGTGAGTTTCTTGTGACCTTCGCTGCAATGGAAGCTTATGAAGTGATTCTTGTCACATACCATTCCTTTAAAAAATTCATATATAGACATCTGGTGTAAATTTTTTACTAAGAGGATAAATGTCAACCCAAGAGGCAAGCGAATTTTGGGAATAATGAGGGCAACAAATGTATAGATGTGCTTTACATAATTGATCTATGTATTGTGATGAATTGTATGAGCCCCAATAAATTGATTAAAAAAAAACAACAACCACACATTAGCCACACTTTATAATAAATATGACACTCTATGTTCTTATAAAAGTAATATTTGTATTCTATCTTATAGGGTCACTATGAATAGAAGGATTCAATTACAGTTCATACGTATATCTATTTTTATACTTGAGTGTAATGTATAAACATATATGTAATAAATATTTATATATACATATGTATATATATCCTATATATGTTAGTGTGATTAAGCCACAAATGCCTCAAGAAATAGCAATTAATTCAAACTGTCAATATTTGCCTTAATAGAATACAAATATTTTGTTCTATATATATACATGTATGTGTGTCTATCTGTAATAATAAATGTTAACGCTAGTGCCACTGGAAAAAAAAAAAAAAGAGGATAAATGTCAGGGTTAAGTGTGGGGAAATGCAACTCGGAGCCATCTCAAGATTAGTCTTAGCCTAAACAACACAAAACAACCCCAAGCCAGTTCTCGGGAAAGGCAGAGGCCGCTCAATATGCAGACTGCCCTAAGGACACAGCACCATGACTATTCAGGACCTATTGAAGTCACTGCTCCCATACTGCATTGCAGTAAGGTATCTGGTGGGACAATCTGTATTGTAAAGAGCTTTTTAAAACTGCCTTCAAAATAACCAGGCAAAATCAAGAGCAGGCACCTGTGATGAGATTTACCTTGAATACAGAGTATGATGGCGTTAGGGTTCTGCATGTATGCTTTGCTGATACTGAAGATGGTTTCCTTGGTGTCCGGAGCCATGCCTGATGTCACAGTCTTAAAGAAAAATGTTTGAAATGTCATTATAAATGCTTCCCACAATATGAATAAATAAAACATGTTCATATCTACTCACATTAATCACACCGGGTAAGTCAACAAGCACCATCCTCTGTAGTCCAGGGCCTTTTACATTTAAAGATATTGTCTACTCCAGAACACAAGTGGGGCAAAAAAAGACAAAAAAACAAAACACACTTGATCGAGAGGCATTCACAGTTTTCTGGTGACATGTATTCTGAAACATCTTTATCTCATTTCTTCCGCTATGGTACTCAAAATACTACTTTCTAATCTGAGAAGTAAGTATTGCTAGGGGAGGGGTGGAATGTGAAGAAAGGCACAGAATTATACCTAATCCAGTGACCTAAACCTCTACTAATATTTTAATTAAAAAGTACTTGGAATGTTAAAATAAAAGAACAAAACACGGTACCAGCATAGCTGCAGTCATCAATACCAACCCCAAGACTTGTTTGAAACCACACACGGAGGGTAGTCAGGAAAGCCACTGACTGAATCGCAGCCCTTACCTCAGGACTAACAGTAGCACCGTCTTTCACATTTTTCCTCATGCGGATTTCTATTTCATGTCTCAGTGCTGCAAGCTATAACAGAAAACAAAGTCCCAAGAAAAGTTTTGGTTCACAAATACTGCTTTGCCTTATAGTTATTCAATTTATAAAGTTACCAAGAAATAGCAGGCAGTTTTTAAAAGACAATATAACATTTTTGCTTTTCTACTTACATCTTCCTCTTTGGTGAGATCAAACTCCCGAGAACTATCCTTAAACAAGGCCACGTGATGAGGACCTTCGCTGAGAGTTACCTGAAATTAGTAAAACATTATGCAATCAAAATGAAGGTGAATTCCCACTGCCCGCACACACCCCACACAGGGCTGCATGGTACACAAATTAGTGTCGTTTCACGCTGATATGAGTGGCACCCCTGGAGTTGTCAACATCGTAGGATGGAAAGTACAATGATGTTTTCATATGTACTGCTCACACATTCAAATACGTGATGCCCCCTACAAGTTCACTGCTACGTGAAATAATACAAATTTTCGATGTGCTATGATCTACAAAGCTGCTGCCCTCCCAACGGAACACCATGCATAAAACCACCCCTCTAACTCTAAACTTAAAGAAAATCTTGCATCTAACTTCAAACAGGCACTTACTAGGTAAATGGCCATTTATTTACCATCTATTCAATTGAGAGCCAGCTATGGAGAGACCTATCAACAACATCATGACAAAGAAAGAGGAGTGAAGTTGTCACAAGATTCCATTTTACTTGGATCCATAATCAACCCTCATGGAAGCAGCAGTCAAGTTATCAAACGGTTTATTACACTTAGCAAATATGCGGCACACGATCTATTTAAAGTGTTAAAGAGCCAAGATGTAACTTTGAAGACTAACGTGCACCTGCCCAAGCCATGGGATTTTTAATCACGTCATATGCTGGGCCAGAACACGAAGACTGGGAAGAACCGATGCCTTCAATTACAGTGTCAGAGAAGAGGACTGAATATGGCAGGAGCTTCCAGGAGAACTAACAAAGCTGTCACAGAAAAAGCAGAGTTCCTTAGCAGCAAGCAAGCAATGCACGCTGGACTTGTTATTAGGAGGGACCAGTGCCTGGAGGACATCACACCTGGTACAGTGGAAAGTCAGCAAAAAGGAGGAAGACCCACAATGGGACGGACTGGCCCAGGCTGCAACAACGCGCTTCAAACACAGCGATGGCTGAGGATCGGCTAGGACCGGGCACGGTTTCATTCAGGGTACGAATCAGAACTGACCCCACAGCACCGAAGAAGAACCTCATCTTTCTGGCGTCCTGTGCTTTCAGCCATCTGACAATTCTGGCTTGATGCTCTGGCAGCTCCCCGATGCAGTCATTTTTCATTATCAATAGCAGACTCACTTGAGTGTGATATTAATGATGTGCAACACTCTCCACAGTTTTGGATCACTGTTTCTTCAGAATGGGCAGTTATGGATCTTTTCAGTTGGTTGCCTATGCAGCTCTCTTTGAGATTTCTTGGTATAGATAAGAGAGTACTTACTTCTAATGTTATATCTGCCCACTGAAACACCTCAACTAGTATTCCATCAATTCCTGGAGACCTCTTTTTGCAGTTTAGCTTGGACTTCTTTCCTCAGTACCATTGGTTCTTGATCATACACTACCTCCTGAAATGGCTGAATGCTCACCAATTCTTCTTGGTACAGTGACTGTATTCTTTTCATCTTTGGGTGCATCCTGCACCGTTCAATATTTTGTCCACAGAATCCTTCAATATCACAGCTTGAGGCTCGAAGTTTTTCTTCAGTTCTTTGAACTTGAGAAATGCTAAGTGTACCCTTTCCTTTGCTTTTCTAACTTTAGGGTCTTAGACGCCTCTAAAAATTCTGCGCTGCAGTCCAGATTTCCTCGCTGTATAAATGAAAGCCTGTGTAATGGCCACTAAGCCCGTGAACTGCTTCTCCCCTTCCCTTTCACCCTCCGCCTACTCCTCATTCCGCTGTGGATGCACATTCCTCTTCGGTATTTGATGACTGGACTGCCACCCAGCGATCCCAGGGACTTTTTACTTGCTATTCCTTCTGAATGGTACATTCTTGCCCCCAGATATCCACATTCCTACCTCATTGTCTGCCAAGACCTAGTTCCGATATGACCTTCTCAGTGTGGCGGACCTACATTGGGTCCGACTCCACGTGCACAACATGGACCACCTTCTAGCATATTCTGTATCACATTCCATCCTCTGTAACGTACTACTGAATTGAGCAAATCTGTTGCAAACGACCTTTAAAGTGGAGAGCACAGATGTCACTTTGAGGACTAAGTTGCACTTGACCCAAACGGCGGCATTTTCAATCTCCTCACATGCATGTGAAAGCTGGACAAGGAATTAGGAAGGTTGGGGAAAAATTGACAAATTGGAACGCTCAAGCAAGCTGCCTCCCTATGCCTAGTGCCAAGCAGCCAAGCAGAGGAGCCGAGAGAGGCGGGGTGCGGCAGGGAAGGAGAGGAGAGGTGCGAAGGGAAGCGAGAGCTCTGGCTTGGTGCAGAGGGTTTCTCAGCCAAGGATATGCAACAGTTCTGCATCCCACCCCTCCCAACACACACCACCCTGCCTATCTGCGGTGAAAAATGGACACCCACCCTCCCTCTAGCTCAACAGTTGAGGCCTATGTGTATAGAATGTTCATATCAAAGATGGTGCTGGCAAAGACTGTCAACTATAGCATGGATAGCAGAAGAACAAACAGATTTGTCTTGGAAGAAGTGTACCAGAATGTCCCTTCAGGTGAGGATGGCAAGACTTTATCTCACGTACTTTGGACATGTTTATCAGGAAAGATCTGTCCCTGCAAAGGACATCGTGCTTCGTGAAGCAGAGGGTCAGCAAAAGAGGAAGACACAACTCGAAGGAATGACACAACGGAAGGAATGACACAACGGCTCCAACAACGGGCTCAAACACCGCAACAACTAAGAGAATGCTGCAGACCCGGGTTGCTGTGAAGTGGCAATGAATTAGCAACA